AGTGCAAAATCAGGTGTAGCTCTGCATAGAAACCTATCAGCTTCCAGGTTTTTTTGTCAAAGATTAAGTGAATAAACTGAAGTTAGAAGCTGATTACCTCCTTTGCACAGCTGCACCAGATTCTTAGTGCTTTAGTTTTAGCAAATTAACCCCATTATGTCAATTTTCAGTTCCAACAATCTGATACCCACGGTATCAATAGTTTCCCACTTTTTTACGTGAATCAGTGACTAAGAGTGGCATGGAACCCAAATAAAAATGCAGTGATTTAGTAAACGCTCACTCGGTTAGGATCTACTTTTGGGATCTATGCTTTGTGGTTGCTTGCCTAGAGCAGCTTTAATCAACTTAATTGCAGTGAATTCATATTAAAATCACAGAGATTCTTTACCACTATCCTGGTGCAGTTTGGGCTGCACTGCTAAATACACATTTTGGATTTTCTTGAGTCTGTTTCTATTTCATTGCTTGGCTGGTGAAATCATTTATGTTCTAACCTGTATGCATCCAATATAATTTTTCCCTCCTTTTCACATTATTAAAAATGCAAAAAACGTTCCCAAGATCATCTGCAGACAAAAAACACTGATTGGGATGGGGAAAAACATATAGAAGGAAACAAATAATTTAAAATGCATTCAGAAATGCGTGATTGGTAAATGTTCCCAAATCACATCTATTCATCAGCAAAGACAGTGTGTCACAATTAGAACTGTTTAAGATCCAGCAGTCTGACTAGGGTCCAGGCAAAGAACTATTTCGGGGTACCTAAACTTTTTTACATTTATAAAGAAACACAAACTGAATGGCACTATAAGTTGCTTTTGCAATTTATATTTATAGAGTTTGGAAAGATTTTGTGAAAATTAGAAATGCAGATATATTAGCAGTAAATGGTGATGCAATGGAGGGGTGTTAATTTAGACGGGAGATTGAGTCAGTTAGGGAAAGCACCCCTGGTATATTAGCGATGGAACTGAATTTGTATTGGTCACAATAGTTTTGGCTGCAATGACCAACAGTGTTTTAGGTGAAGAGCTATGGTAGAGCTGACATTTGGGACTACGCTGAAAGACTGCAGATGGAAGTGACAACCTCTTCTCAAATGAGATAAGTGTCATTTTAAAACAATCAGGCATACATACTGAATAGTGTTTGCCTCACATTTATTCAATTTTGAAGATAATCTCCACTAGGCACAATGGTGCATCATTTATAGGCATATTGAATTTAACCTAAATATATTTCGACGTTGGATTTGCAAAGCAAGGTTTATGATGCACAAGCAAAGTAAAGCATGAATAGAATAAGGAGGCCCCTAACTAAAATTTGCGTTTGGACCCCATACAGATCCTATACCTGTGATAGTTCTGGTGATGCCAGAATTCATTGCACACCAATGGCTTTCATGGGAAGGCTTCAGAAAAAGTATAATGAGGCAAGTTAGATTGCTGACCCAGGTAAGGCCCTATCAGGCAACATCAGCCAGTGTCCTTGCCTTAACTCAGGGGTCTCCAAACTTTTTAAACAAAGGGCCAATTTACTGTCCATAAGGTTTTAGGGGGGCCAGACTGTGGTCATCAGGAATAGAAATTGTCCTGGCATCAGAGGGAGTAAACAATGAATCTTTGGTATTAGGGGGAGGAATAGTATCCCATCATTAGTATCACTGGGAGGCATAGCGCCCCATCGTTGGTAGCAGTGGGAGGCATAGCGCCCCATCGTTGGTATCAGTGGGAGGAATAGTGCCCCATTGTTGGTGTCAGTGGAAGGAATAGTGCCCTTTCATTGGTGTCAGTGTAAGGAATCTTGCTTTATTGTTGGTGTCAATGGAAGGAATAGTGCTCCATGATTGGTGTCAATGGGAGGAATAGAGCCCCATCATTGGTGTCAGTGGCAGGAATAGTGCCCCATTGTTGGTGTTAGTGGGAGGAATAGTGCCCTATCATTGGTGTCAGTAACAGGAATAATGCTCTATCGTTGGTGTCAGTGGAAGAAATAATGCTCCATGATTGGTGTCAATGGGAGGAATAGAACGCCATCATTGGTGTCAGTGGGAGGAAAAGTGCCTCATCGTTGGTGTCAATGAGAGGACTAGTGCCCGTTGATGTCAGTAGCAGGAATTATGCCCCATTGTTGGTATCAGTGGGAGGAATAGTGTCTTGTATCAGTGAGAGGAAAAGTGCCCCAGGGGCCAGATAAAAGCAAGCAAAGGGCCACAGTATGGAGACCACTGCCTTAACTCATTGAACTAGAATATTTTATAGAAATTCAAAAAATGCAGCTATGATCATTGTGAGTGGGGAAGGCTTAAAGACTGAGTAGGGGAGAGCATTTTAAGTACTGCCTCAGGTGGTACTAAAGACAAGAACTCTCCAGTGTGAAAACCAGCTGCTCTGATTACACATCCTAGTGTAGCTGAAGTCAGCAGGACTTGTACAGCAATGATATGTTGTGACATCTGCTTGTGGCCGGCAAGAGGAGAGCAGATAGGAGTCAGGGCCTCACAAACCTCAAGGCTTTACTATGTAAGTGAAATTGGCATAACTGTACTGGTTGGGGGGGGGGGGGGGGGCACAAATAATAGAATTCCTAAAGGTTTGAAGTTGGGGTGCTAAATGCCTTTATCTTGCTTGCTTAAAGGGGAATTATAATTGTATTAAAGATTTGGTTTCAGATACATATGTGAAAGAGAAAATATTTTTTTTTCTTTAATTTGCTGACCTAAACTTGAAAAAAAATTAAATAACTGCTTTTCTGGAGTACACACTATTAGGGCTGTGGATAAGGGGGTACCACCAGTCCTCCTGTAGGGGGCCCAGGCCAGCAGGGGGACCCAGGAAGCTGGGTGAATCAGATGTAGGCAGGGAGGGTGATCGGAACAGCGACAGGGCAATTACTGGAACCGATCCCCTGTATGGCTCTCTCAGCAGCAGCTGAAAGCTGACTTCTTCTCCTCTCCCTCCTGTCAGCTTTCAGCTACTGCAGAGAGAGCCATACAGGGGATCGGTTCCAGTAATTACCCCGCATCACCCTCCTTGTGCACTATATGTTTCCCCCTGCTGCCCAAGCCCCCTTGTGTGCCCCCATCCCCACAGTGCTGCTGGCTACCCTTCTTTTGCACCATCAGCTGCAAGTACTAAGACAATAGGATCCTTCAGGATGGAGAGTGGGGGAAGGTTCCAGTAAATATGTCACATTTACCAGCCCCTTCCAGTCCTGAATTATCACAATGAGCGATCAGTACAGATCACTCGCTGTGTTCATTCTTAACTGTCGTTCATAAGTATAGTAAACTGTTTTTTTGGGGGGAAGGGCCCTGTCAGGTTGGCTGTGTGGGGCTCCGTGGTTTGGGGGGCGTGTGACGATAGTTGTATGGGGCCCTGTGGTTTCTAGCAGCAGCCATACACACCATCAATCTGAAGTATGGCCCACATTATTCAACCTGTTTCCTGTGAGCCCAGACTGTTATGGACCTGCCTCAGAGGAGAACGTTATCACGCAGTGTAGGCTCAGAGTACTTCAGGACTGAACAATGTTCACACATTATTACATGAGTGCTGCTCAGTCCAGGAATAAGGCCCACAAATTGGCGATGCAGGATAGAAGAAGAAGGGCCTGTGACATCACTGGACTGGCCTAAAGATTGTACAGTATAATTTTTTTTTTTAAAAGAACAAAATATTGAATGTGGTCTTCAGTAAGGGTAGGTGCCCTGAAGTCAGAGTTCCTGCTTTAATGGAAATGGTCTTATTAATGTGTTTGCAAATTGAAATCCTTGTTTCTATATAAAGTTTATACTTTTCTATGTACATGATTTTTATTTGTCTTATCTCACTTCTGATTCAGAACAAGACGCTCAGTAGTAATGATTGGTGGCAAGAGACTTTATGATTTATTCTATCACTGCACATTGCACTAAGCATCAAGTTCATAATACAGTGTGTAATAACTGTGCTGTCTACAGTGCATTTGCATATTTGAAGCTTTCATGGATTCTCTGCACCATTACACATAGATGAGAAGCAGGCACTGTGATCAATGCAATGTATGATTGTAATACCTTCTTCTTATACATATACAGTCTCTACTTGATTCAGATACAGAGATCTGAGGCAGGCATAACGATTGGTACACTCTGTACTATAAATTCCGGCTGTGTGGAGGTGGACAGACAGAACCACACACTTGACTTTCCTTTTCCGTGGGATTCATAATGACTGCATAAACAATAGTCCCACTGTTGGCCACTATTCATTTCAATACGTTTTTCTTTGGGGTTAATAGTGTCATCACACTTTAAGAGTTCATAACACGTTAATGAGTTGAATGGTAAAACATATAATCCTGTATTTCTTTACAATCGGTACAACTTATTTGTACAAACAACATAAAGATGTAGCTTTTCCTGTCAGTAGTTGAATTTAACAGCAGCCTGGAAACGGGGCAGTTATGTAGGGAAATACAAAATTGGGCTCAGTTCAGTTTAGTGTCCTAGCAATGAATTACTGGGAGAGTGGCCATCCAGCAAGGGCCATGTTTAGGGGAAATTATGATTGACATTCCAGGATGAAAGAAGAATAAACAGAGAAAAGAGAGAAAAGATTTAATGTGGTTGATGGGGTGGGAAGGGGCATTGATTGCGATGTAAGGGGTGAGGAGGGGGCCCGAAAGAGAATCTTTAACAGCGAGGATGATCATAAGAGCAAGTTATAGAAATGGTCTCCTTCATAGGATCACCAAGGACTGATCAAAATCCTTAGGAAGGTAGTGCTGTATCTATGGGTCCAGAACCATTCAGATTTACGTATTGCATCACGGTGGACACTTTTAAGGTGATTTCACAAACCTGCTTTAGACATGCATCTGCTACATGATACTAACATTCAGCAACAGATTTTTCAGAGTGGTGCCTAATCCATTAATTATGATCTGTTGTCTGACACTTAATACGTTACACATTATAGTATTGGACATTGGAGCCTTAAAGTGTTACTAAACCCAGGACCCTGCATTCACTCTGTCTGGTCTCCCACAGTACACAGAACATGGAAATGCACTTATTGTAGTAAATATAAACTGCTAAATACCTTTTCCCATCAGCAGTATATAGCAGTCTTGTGACTTCTATCAGTGTCCAGCAAAGCACTGGCTAAAGCTTGTAGGAGGAATTTGCTTTCTGCTCTTGGAGGATGTAGAACCCCTGACCTCTTAAGCCCTGCACCCTATGACTACGTGCATTGCACGAAACGCGTCAGAGGGGCTACAGCAACTGGACGTCTAGCCACCGCTGGTGGCCATCCTGATTTCCCACTATATGGTCAGTGTTCTTTTAACATTGTTATTGCACTTTTCTTTGATGGAATAAAGTTCCCTACAGTATTACGCTATATGGTCTCCTTTATTGGTCCCTCTTCATGAGGGCCATCCGCAGAGGCTGCATTAAGGGTGACCCCTATTGGTGATACGCATCAAGGATCCCTGAGTACTCCATGCAGATGTGACTGGGAAGTATACTGGATCCTGACCTGACCTGGGAGGCGGATGACCTAAGCTATACCTGTTGAGATAGGTTATATCTCAAATGCGTGTTTACACGCACTTCTGGTGAGTGCGCAATTCATTTGGATTATCTGCCACTTGGACTAATTCTCCACACATGCTTATCGGGATCACGCAGGATCCTCACGTGGGCAGCTTATCTGGGACTTTTTATGCACCATACTCACCAATTGGTGACATCACTAATTCACATTATTTATACTTGTTGATTGATTTTCATGTTTGATCTGCAATTGCTTATTATCACTGCCAACATACTGAGCATATGACTTGTCATTTATCCATGCTGCACAGTTTTTATAATGCTGCACCTTCTCATTGTTATACACTATTTATGAGATATATCTTTATACTGCATACTTTGTTTTAACGCTGCACCTTCATATTGAGATTCGCATTAGAGGGTTCTGTTTGGTTGCCTTTTTGATGTTTCAGCGGCTATTTCCCTTTCAGATAGCGCTCGCAAATTTACTCTTTACATATAACCCCTGACCTCTGTCTGGACAATGCTGCTTGGCCCTGTGCTGATCAAATGCATTTTCCCATGAAAAAAAGACTCTCTCTGGCAATACACACCAAACTGAGCATGTGCAGAGTGTCTCCACACAATATGTCTTATCAGGAGATAAGGGGGGGGGGGGCACTGGAAGAAGGGGAGCATCAGAGAAGTCAGGATCAAACAACATTTTTACACAATGTGGAGGATTAACCACTTAGGTTCCACAGTGAGTATAACAAGCATGCTTTACTGCATATACAGACTGATTTTACTGTTGTGGGTTTAGTAACACTTTATTAGAATGTACAGCCTTATTAAACATCCATGTGTTCATTCACTTGTTGGGAATCTAAAGTCTATTACAAGCATAAAATCCTTTGTCTATATTACAATCTTAAACTGCTTGGGCTTTTTTAATTTGTATTTGTAAGGTAGCTTTAGGTTCTATACCCACGGGCTGGAAAAGTAGGTGCTTAGAAGGCAGTTATGACTTTACCAAGTAACTCCTGAATGTTGAAGCCAATTAAGTGTACCAAGTCAAATGAGCTAATATGTATGTCTGTTCACTGACTGTGGCATGCAGGCCGTGGGCACCTAATCAATACAACTGCTCCCCCCCAACCGGTGGGATCAATTGGAATTTGGGTGAGCCACCAATCCAACAGCATGGGCTGAGGATGCTCTTCTGCATCTGGCTCTGGTGTGAATCCTGTCTTAGGGTCAACCAAGGGAGGGACATCTTTGTGTGCTGATGTCCATACTTGTGCCAGAATAGGTTGACAGAGGCTCCTTGAAGAGATCTTTAGTGAGTGACCCTGTAACAGGTAAACAAAAGTGTATGAGGCATGCAAAGAGTTCTGTCAGACACCAGTCTTAGCTCCTATAATGAATTTTGTTAACCCTCGAATAGCAGATCATAGTCCTCTACATCTATCGAGCATCACTACCTCCTGTCACCAGGGAAGCCGGGTACAGAGAGCTACACTACCATTTTCAGAAGGCAGTCCCCATATGACAGGTGTATTTTAACATAACTAGTTGACAATTATCAACCAATCTGGGATGCTTTAGCTAAGCACATCATAAATGATTGGCAGTAATTGATAAATACATGGGACTCCTGCGTGAGCTAGCCCATAGTGTGGCCTTCCACTACATTTTGTATTTATATGATGGAGACAGCACAGTGGCTAAATGGTTAGCACTTCCACCTGGCAGTACTAGGGTCATTGGTTCAAACCTCAACCACGCCACCACCTGCCTGGAGTTTGCATGTTGTCCCTGTTCCTGCATGGGTTTCCTCTGGGTACTCCGGTTTCCTCACACACCCCAAAGACATGCTGGTAGGTAAACTGGCTACTGTCTAAATTGGCCCTAGTATGTGTATGTATGAATGTGAGTTAGGGACCTTAGATTGTATGCCCCTTGTGAGTTAGGAATTGATGTGAATGTGAGTCCTTGAATCTACCACATAATGTACAATTGTTGTGTGCTTCACAAAATGTTTCATTGGTCATGGGCATATGTAGCTGATTATTATGATTTTAATGGTTTTATGTGCTACAATTTACAGGTTGCTGAGATCATGTAAGGAACAAAGGTCTACTCACAAAACTCTGTCAGCACAATGGTTTCCAAGCAGTTTGCAGAATGCAATATAAAGCAAGAATGATTGTGTTATTAATGGACACAAGTGTAGAATTAATGCCCGTTATGGCATGATCTTCTGTATCAAATACTTGCCCAGAAATTAAAACCCATAAATGCACAACATCCAAGTCTGGGATCTCCAGATTGGAGACACAGAGGTTGATTTACTAAAACTGGAGAGTGCAAAATCTGGTGCAGCTCTGCATAGAAACCAATCAGCTTCCAGTTTTCTGGGGGGTTTTGATTGAACAAGCTGAGGTTATAAGCTCTTTGGGCTACCATACACAGCTGCACCAAATGTTACATTCTCCAGTTTTAGAAAATCAATCCCACAGGCTTTCAAAGGATAACATGCAGGTACAGGCTTTCATGAAGAATATGTATGGTCCAAAGACCCTTAATGTTGCTAATACAGTATGTAGGTGAGATCCACTCAAAGGGCAAATACATCTATTCTGTGAGCTATATTATGAACAAGCTGTGCATCACATTCACAGCCATATATTAAACAAGACATCCATGAGGGCCAGTCTACTCAAAACCGATATTCCAATTAGGGCTGCATACTGATAGGCTCTATCACCGAAAGTCTTTTGGGATTTCCAGCATTGCATTCTTCCAAAAAGAATCGTCTGGCTCAGCCCCCACTTGCTGCCGTTACTATAGAAGGACTGTGAAGTCACCATTAGAGTCCTGTATACGCTTGTTGGTGAATGGATGAAATGACCAGTCAGCAACTGATAGATTTCAATGATCTTTTTCTCGAAAAGGATCATTTGACACAGCAAAGAAAAGATTGATTCGTTGGATTTAATTGGATTTTTGCCATTTTTACCGATTATTTTTGATGGAAATGACGTTTTTTTTAATGACCTCACCCATATAGTGTAGCCAGTTTCTAGCAGATTAAATCATACAATCAATATATGTGAGACTAGCAGAGAACTCAGGTACATTTGCTGGCCTGGATTTTACGCACATTCCCCAAGAACATTCAAAGCCATTATCATGCAGCAGAAGTAATAAGGAGGTGTATATTATTATTATTATTATACAGTTTTTATAAAGCGCCAATAGTTCGCCCAGCGCTGTACATTACAAAGGGGGACAGAACATGTGACAGAACAATACCAATACAATGCAAAACATGAGGGGATTGAGGGCCCTGCTCTTTGGAGCTTACAATCTAGGAGGGAGGGGATAGTGGTACAGGAGGAGATAGCTGTGGGGGATGGAGTGGTAGGAAGAGTGGAGGAGGTCGGTCAAGTTAGCAGGGGGTAGGTAGGCTTCCCTGAAGAGATGGGTTTTCAGGGTGCACCTAAAGGAGAGGAGAGTAGGTGATAATCTGATGGGTTGGGGCAGGGAGTTTCAGAGGATGGGTGACACCCTGGAGAAGTCCTGGAGACGGGCATGGGAGGAGGAGACCAGGGAACTAGAGAGAAGGAGGTCTTGTGAGGAGCAGAGTGTGCGTGCTGGGTGGTACTTGGATATTAGGTCAGTGATGTAGTTCGGGGCAGTGTGGTGGACGGCTTTGTACGTCAGTGTTAGGATTTTGAATTTGATCCGTTGCGCAATCGGAAGCCAGTGGAGGGATTGGCAGAGGGGGGTGGCGGAAACGGAGCGCTTGGAAAGGTGAATGAGTCTGGCAGCCGTATTCAGGATCGACTGAAGCGGGGATAGCCAGCGGCGAGGCAGGCCAGTGAGGAGGGAGTTGCAGTAGTCGAGTCGTGATATGATGAGGGAGTATATGGGGAGGACACTGAGAATACAATCTGGAATAGGAGTTGGTGTACACAAAGTAGCAGCCAGATTTCATAGATAATAAACATCCTCATTTGACCAGGGATTCATGTATTATAAATGCAGTCTATGCTAATGTCACTGCTATACAGAGCTGACCATATGTGTGATACAATGTGTACATTCACTTACAATGCCTGGACATCTAGGTTGAAATCTATTAGCAACAAATCCACTCGTAAAATGAGTGAAAGATTTCAGCTCTATTTCTGTTCTGGTGACAACTGGAATTTTGGATTTTCCCACTCAGTGGTCACCAGGACAAATACTAATGTAAACACAGACAGAAATAAAAAGTCGCCAAAGGTTCCAGCCTTTTCCTACTTCATGCAAAAGTAAAAAAAAAAAGTTTTGGCTTTATATACACGTCATCTTTCACCATCTACTGAAATGAAAGCTTGTGATGTGGTCTATAAACACTGTTCAACAATGACACTTCTCTCCTGTACCAAAAATGCTTACTCTGGTTTCACTGCACATTGTGCATTAGAAGCTGCAGCAAGGAAAGGCCATCTCTTTTCCTAATTGGAGGACATCCACCATCATCCAGCACTTTCCTTCCTGGCTCTATTTACAATCATGGAGGCTGAGCATTAAATGTGGCCATTGACTAGGGGGAGGTCTGAATGCAAATGCAACTTCTGAGGAACACACACTCCTTCAAACTGATATCCACCCATCAAATATTTTGATATTTGCATAACTCCTCCCAAGAGCCAGCCCACAGTTGTGTCAATGCTGATAGCTCTTGGGGGAAGTACTGAAGCTCGGTGCTGTGATGTTTTCTACACCCTGGTTGACCCTCCCATCAGCCATGATCTGCCTGCATTGAACAGAGAAGCACTGTGACCCAGTGATTGATAATAATGAGATTTGTACTAAAAATGTAAGGGTTTCAATTAAAATGTTCATAAGCATATTATGGGGGGGGGGTACACTTAAAGTGGAAGTTTAACCTCCCTGGCGGTATTCCCGAGTGTAGCTCGGGGTAAAGTTTCAGCACCACAAGCGGTAACCCCGAGCTACACTCGGGAATACCTTGCAGCGTTGCTCCAGGATCCCTTCTTCACTTACCTTGTCCTGCACTCCCACGATGTCCCTCCTGCAGTGTCCCCTGTAATGTCCTCCAGCGGATGCCAGCATCTGTCTTCTGGGTTCCGTCCCCTGCGACGTCGGGACGTACGGGGGCCGGAAACGGCAGGAAATTTGAAAGTGACAAAAAGTGACATTCACTAAATTCACTAAAATCACATAGTAAAACATTACTGTATCAAACCATTTCACATACATTTTGTCCCTAGTGCTTTGTCCTGTGCCCTGCCTGCATTTTTACCGTTCTTTCTGCCTGGAAACTGAGAAAAGTCCATGGCGTCCAAAAAGCGTCCCTTTAGGTCAGAATCGGTTTTAGACCAGCTAGAGAACAGCGATAGTAAATTAGAACCACTTGCAGAATTGAATGATAATGATTCGCAGGGAAATTCGTCATAAGACACTGAAAACGATTTTGCGACTTTGCTCAGTGATGTGCGAACTTGCCACTATATTTCAAATTTCAGTGTTTTGGGTTTGATTATATTATTGAATTAAATGTATTATTATTATATTATTATTGTTTATGATTATTTATTAAATTATAATT